AGTTCCTTAATATTAATAGTAAGAGTAACAAAATGCCAATTCTGAAACATCACATTATAAGAATATCCTGTGAGGTCTTCATATGAAAAGCTTTTCATTTTGTGGCTATATATCATCTTTAATCTACATGTTTGGGTTTCTGCTGTCTTTCTTGAAGATTTAAAGTTATGACTTCTCTCTGAAGGGTGTGCTTTTGAACTCTCACCATCTTCTTAATATGTCAAGTGGCTCTTCCAACAATACCACGGCTCCTCTGGTACTCTAGTTTTAATTATAAAATAATACGTTTCTCAATGCTATGTATAAAAGTCAAGTGGTCCTTTTGCTTAATAGGATTGACTGTATGAATTAAGAAAATCAATCCATAAAGGCATGTTTTGAAAGTGCCTTAAATAAAACATCCTGATAAAATTCTTTGCCCTGTGTAATAAAATAAAAAAGGAACATAGTTGTGATTTTATTAGATCTTTTGGTTTCAAAATCTAGAATCTCATTTTACACAATGATCATTATTACTTTGAAACTTCAATGAAAGTATTCCATTATCAGCTCATTTTACAATGAATAAGACAGAAGGGTCAGTGACTTAACCAAAGTGAAAGCTACTCCATGGTAGAGATGGGATTTCAACCTACGGCCTGACCTTGATGTTTGTTTTGGGCCTTTGTCTTATGGGCAGTCTTTGCTGAAAAGGGAAGGTGACAATTTCCAAAGATAAACCTGCCAGTCACACAGATCTCTGAGGTATTGTTTTACATATTTTAACTTCAACTAGGAAGATTCAACATTAGGCAACTTTACATGATAGCACTTTTTAACATTAAATATAAAATTGCATTAATGAAGCCTTCTTAACAAGCTTTTAAAGTTGGTTTTTTCTTAAATACATACTATTAAAATTTTTATTTTTTAGAAAAACAAATGAGAATGAAAATGGTAGACTTTTTAAATGTAGACAACGAACAGATAAGTGAGAATAAAAAAGAACTGATCATTTATTTAAAAAATACTTTGTGGGAGGTATCGAAATAGTGTGAACAAACACTTGCCAACAAGGAAAAAGAACCACAATTTAATATTTTCAGGAAAAATCATATTTCTTGATTATATAAATGCAGAAATGAATTCATGTAAAGGGAAATGTATTTTTTAACCATTGTTGATCACCTTATATTTTGTTTTTTTTTTAAATTTTATTTAAAAGGAAAAAGAGAAAAAACAAAACAAAACAAAGCAGTGCAAGGGTACAAGTAATACAGAACTACAAAAAAAAAAAAAAAAACAGTAAGAAATCACCAGTTAATAGATTACACATTATCGTCTTAGAGATAGTTGCTCAAGTCACAGTATCAAAGCATACAAATTAAACATTCAAACAGAGAGACTGCAAACAATTGTGTTCAATGATTCAACCAAAAACATTAATATGGTCAGGTATTTAACAGCCCTAAACACACTTGCAGTTGTATCCTTTAGAGCACTTTTTTTCCCTCTCTTTTTTACAACAAAATTTACACATTTTGGGTTTTATTACCCCTTAGTTCTTATTACTTTTTTTTTAGAAGAGGATAAAGTCAAATATGGCAAAACAAAGCTGTCAGTCAAAGTATTTTTAAATTATTGTTTATTTACTACAACAAACTTACTTTTAAAACATAATCAATGTAGAGTGGAGGAAATGGAAGATGTAAGTCAAAAGAGTCAAAGAAATAGACATGTGAGACCAACAAGTCTACAGGTTAAACATACAATAGGATAAGGTTGTTGGCAAAATTGTAACAGAGACTTTTATTAAATAGATTTTTAGCTGCTCTTGTAAAAAGCGACACACTCTTGGGATGTGATAAATTATGTTAATCTGTGTCACTTTATTTGCCATCTTACCACAAATGTGTATCCTATGACATCACATTATAAACCTCACACAAAATTAAATAAATAATGCAAAGTTTTAAAAAAGCATTGTAAATAGAATAAGTTTTCTGCCCCAGTGCCCCAGGCATAGATATTGCCTTTCATGCTGACTTCAAAATAATTTTACTTTTTTTTTTTTTTTTTTTTGTGGTACTGGGGATCAAACTCATGACCTCATGCTTGCCAGGTAGGCACTTATGCCACTGAGCTAAATCCCCAGCCCCTAATAATTTTACTTTTCAAGTAATAATACTGATGTGCTTTGGCTTTTTTTCCATTGCTATGCAGAAGCATTCTTTAAGACTGACATTTAAATGTGTTCCAGTGAGTCCATAATGAGTGAAAACTTGAGATCAAGGCACAATACTTAGGCAAAAATAAGCACAACAAATCTGTAAATTCACAGGGAATTCAGAAAGTCCAGTTATCCGTCAATTATAATGTCAGTAATAAATGTAGAAAGTCTGTTATAATAATAGCCAGCCACAGTGGTAGCTCTCTATGAGAACTGAGGTGTTAATGACCACGTAATCATCAGTGGGGTTTGAACCAAGGGCCTCACATGTTAGGCAAGCGCTCTGCCACTGAGCTTCTCCCCAGCCCATTTTTCTGTTTTCTTAATGTTTTTATTGGTGGAGTTGTCACAGTCTTCTCACTAAATAATTGGAAAAATTTCTTTAACCCTGACTAACACTAAGGCAAGCTCTAGTAATTGTTTTGCAACTGTGCATGTCTGGCACTTTATTTCAATATTTTTAAAACGCACATAAGGCTCCGTGGAATCTAGCAGTTATTCTTTTACTATCAACTAATTGAGAAAACACATGCAAGCAAAAGCAACTGTGAGTTATGCAATGATTTCAAATATATTTGTATTTTATTAAGGAAGTAAACATACAGTTTAATAATACTACATATAAATGAGCGGCATGGTATTACTATAGCTACACCGGGGACATAAGTGGATCAGTGACTTCTTTGCAACTGTTCTACGGCCTACCATTGGCTGAAGCAACCACTGCTGAAATGAAGATTCACCAGGACTGAGACACTACGCGCAGCTATGTGTCCCAAGTTCTACTGCAATTTTGCAGAGTGGCGTCTCCTTCCTTCCTCAGCTTGTTCCAGAGGTATATGTGGCTCTGCAGTTACTTGCCATGCATTTGACAAAAGAAGCTTACAGCTGATTTGTGGGAACAAATTAAGTGTAGAAAGCAAGAGTGATTTGCACTAGTAGTCTAGTTAGTTTGGGGAAAAATATACAAGAATGTTTGAGCAAAATATCCCCTGTATGAAGGACTACATGAAAAGCAGAAAAATAAGCGAAAAATAATAGTCTGAGAATGTATTCTCCACTGACTGATTGTGGATAAGAGCTTCAAAATATCACCAATCAGAATTTATTTCTCCACTCAATTCACCCAAACATTGCACTCTGCATGTTCAAGTGAAAAGACTAGTATATACTCAGTGCCCTATGATTGTTTTACTTATTCCTTGTAAGGAACAGTATAAATTTGCAGTTGCACCTGAAAGAAGGTGTCGATGTCCGCTCCCGGCCGGCAGGAAGGACACACGACAAAGTCTGGCAGTGGACAACCTTTTTTTTTATTTTTCTCTCCGTATAGCCTGCCCTGGGATCGCTCTCAGCCGAAGCCTCCTCTGGTCCGCTCCCCGCGGCTCTTTCTGGGCTTTTACTTTCGGGCTTTTTCTTCCCCCCCAGGGGTGGCACCAGTATATATACGGATACAGTGTCCAATCATGTTAAAGTAAGCAAGGCAAGCTGATTGGCTAACATCATCAGTTGCCAGGCAGACTATATTGTTGAGCGGGTTGCTTACGCGGTAAGCAGGAAACTAACGTGCTCGATGGGAGGGGTAATCTACCTCAGGCTTTACTCTTTACTACAGGCCTCACGTCCGCCAAGTGAGGCGACCGGGATCGGGGCTGCAGCTCCCAACAAGAAGGGGCACAAATCTGTAAAAAGACACTACTGACTTTGACTCACAATCAAAGCAGCACAAGTTCTGACCTGCTTCCTGAGAACTGAGTTGTAAAACACTTTGGTTATGATTACATAAAAGGTGGTTAGTAGACCAGTTCCTTGACAATACAATCTGAACCACAGATAGGCACTGGCTATGAAAACTTTCATATTCCTTTTGTCCTCTTTTATTTTTAACCTTTTATTTCACCTCAATAGTCTTAACTCTTATTTCAAAATTTTAGTTTAGCTTCATGAAACATTTTCCCTTTGTATAAAGTATCCCCATCTGGTCCATCTCTGAGTATATACCATGTAATATTTATGGAATCACTTACTTGGTTATCTTTGCATTTAATTTCATAAAACAAGGTTGTTTCCAAATAGTCTGTGGAGCTCTGATACTTAAAGGCAGTGACCCAAAGACTTGAGAGACCAAACCATCTTATCATTAGTTTTCTTTCTAATTTTTACTGTTTCCTGAAACATACATCATATTTTCAATTAACATGACTTTAAATGTTTATCTGATGAAAACACTAGAGCAATCCTAGGATGTGTGATTCCACACTGAGTATTTGTTATCTTGAAATAATCCTTGGTTGTATTTGAATCACTTACTTTAATGTATTTCCAGTGTCAAATACAGTACCTGATTGTAATAAAAACTCAAAAGTGAAAATATGATAATTTGAATTGACTTGGTTTTTAAAAATCCTCTATTTCAAATTACTCAAAAAGAAGTACATATTTCCCTCCTCACTGTGTAATTTAGACAGCTGAACACTGGTCAGGAGTGGGGAAGAAACTAAAGGATTTCAAATTATTTGAGGAAAAACAAGTAGCAATTTCAGAGAAGATGGTTAGAAAATCAGAGAATCATTATAGCATACTAAATAGGAAGGGATCAACAAATCTTATTCATCTGTCACAAATTTCTAAAAAATGTCAAGATCCAGATGGCAAATGCTTTAGACCAACTGTCAAAATGAAAGACCTTGCTGCTTGGTAAATGATTACCATGGCCTTTCCAAATTCAAGTGTTAATTCTCCCACTTAATTTCAATTCCAAGATAATTTTGAAGTTTCTGTGATGAGCTTGTTAATCTATATCTGGTTCTTCCAAAAATAAATTAGCTGTTGATGAATCACTCCTTAAGACCTTGCCACTGACAATGAGCTTTATTGCCTTTCGAAACCATGAGTAAAAAAAGGAATAAATCAAAGGGTTCACAGCTGAGTTATAATGAACGCACCACACTAATATCATACACATAATGAGGAGTTATAAAATGCATGTAAGCATCAATTACTGCATCAATAATGTAGGTAGCCAAGAAACAAGAAATGCTGCCACAGCAATCCCCAGGGTTTTGGCAGCCTTTCTTCTCTTCTTGCCACGCTTTCCTTGTAACTTTCCGAGGAAGACTGAGCTTGGCAGGCCATGCTTTCTATCTTCCTAGCCTGATGCTTAGCCACCAAAAATATCTTCCCATATATAAATACCATGGCAACAGTGGGTAGAAAGAACAGAAGAAAACAAAGCAGAACCCAAGTTTTGTTCAGGGGAGCCTGACAGCCTCCTACACAGGTCAGAGCAAGTACTAATTCCTCAATGCCTTCTCTTCATTGGCCCCGGTGTAAAAGATTGAAAAGCTGTATGTGACCGAAAAGAACCAGGAAAGAACAATGCATATTCCTGAGACCGACATGGTGAACTTGGTTGGATAAGACAGAGGGTCAGTTACAGCAATGTATCTATCAACAGAGATCCACATAAATGAAATAAAGAAGCGAAACAGAAGGATGTATCAAAGCACGTATGAAATTTACAGTAGCTCTCCCCAAAGTACCAGCAGCTCTCCACGGACCACACAGTGCTGAAGGGCATCACAGTGACACCCACCAGGAAGTCTGCGCAGGCCAGGGACACGATCAGACAGTTTGTAGGGGTGTGCAGCTGTCTGAAGTGAAGAATCGCAATAATAACGAGTAAGTTTCCAAACACGGCCAGCACGGCCCCCAGACCAAGGACTGCGTACAGGATTGCTTGAGGGCCTGGTGAATAGGAGGTTTTAATGCAGGATCCATTGAGGTTCTCATAGCAGAGTTCCACAGGGCCAGCTTGGGGGAAATTGTCCAACATTGCCTTCTTGCTTTAATTATCTTAAAGTTTCTGAGTTCCTGACTTCCGCAATTTAAAACAAGGAAGAGAGACAATTTCAAAGGTTTTTGGAAAAGGAAAAGAATGTCAAATAAGAGTAACTGCTGTAACAATTTTTAGCATACAACCTATATAGCCTTTCAAGTCTCCAAACACTTTCCAAGTTTTTAAAGCATTCAGAGTTGAAATTAATTGCAGAAAGGCATTCAAATCACAGTCAGCTATATGGCTAAATAAATGGTTGGCAATGCAAAGAGTCCAATGTATATATTACAGTACATATTTTGCCTATTTTCAGAAAAGCCACTGTGTGTGTGTGTGTGTGTGTGTGTGTGTGTGTGTGTGTGTGTCTTTACCTTTTGAAAAATCTCATCTGTAACCATCAGAGTTAAAGAATAATTAGGTTTCTAAAGGCTGGGTTTTATTTACAAAGCTATTTCCCTTGAGTGGCCATTTTGGTTGTAATGACAAAGTACACTGTATTTTTTTAAGAAGTAAGAAATAAATTACAGCTCCTTCAAATTATAACCGCCAAATCCCTATAGTATCAAGTGGAAGACTAAGGAAGGACTAACTCATAAGAACTTTAAACATACTTTGGGGACACATTTACTTTACCACTTACATTTTCAGAATTTGTGTTTATTTCCTTTTCACTCATTTGTGATTTGTGATTATCAAATAGATGCTCATATAGTCCATGTAACACTATTTTTCAGGCTAATAGACAATTTTTAACTATCTAAAACCAATAAGAATTTCTTAACACAAGTAATAACTCGCCCAGTGCCTTACCTTTGAGTACTTAAAGAGTGAACATGGTTTTAAACTTACCATGATGGAGTAGGCAAGACAAGAGCAGGCTGGGATAGTGCAGGTTGGACACATTCCTGGAAGTGTAACTTGTTGCTGTCATCCAAGATTCAAACAGAGACCAGCTGGCTTCTCTACATGTTTGAGTTGTTCTTATGCCAGGTGTGCAGTCTTAAAAAACATATTATAGAATTCACTTAACAAGTGAATAATAAATTGCTGATTTGTTTGACTATAAATAAGTGCAACCTGGCATTTACATCTTAATCTTGAAGTCAAGACGACTACTTCTATTACTATGTACTGCATGCAACACAACCAGGCTCTGTTAAAAGTGCAGGATCTTAGGAAAAACTCCTTTATATCCATGGAGGTGTGTGTGTTATATCTGTATGTCTATACTTTCTGGATAATAGGATTCCCTAGACTTTAAGATGTCAGTGAAGTGTCAAAATGCTCATTTCAGTGTAATACTATGATTTACCCTATCAAAGCATAGAATACCACACACACACACACACACACATACATGCACACATTCCTGGTATTTTCAGACTTCCCTCATCTGCAAGTTTAAAATAAATTGGTTTTGACTTTGATTTCCCTGTTGTACAGCATTCCTCACTGGTCTGATGAAAAACATTGCATTAAAATTCCTTCTCACAGTGTCCCTGATCTCTTAGGGTTCCCTATTGTATTCCAAAGCCACGTTCCTAACAAAACCACACTGATTCTCCTCCTATACTCTTCTCTGTCCCAGTCCTTCTGATAAGGTCTGATACATCTCTTGCTTTACACTCCAGATGGTTAAAGGGATTTCACCACTGCCACCATAGGTGGTGTCCTGCCTGAGAGTTTAAGTATCTTTGAAAGGTCTCTGTCCCCTCAAGACTTAGAAATCCCACTTTTTTAGCATCCAAGACATGATGCTGTTGTGCAAAAAAATAGTGACCTCTTTCTTCAGATATCTATATTCAAATGCAAAACATCAGCGTTTGATCTCACTGAGTATCATAAAATGTGTTCTTTCCTAGAAACAAAGACATTGGAGCAATGATAAGCACTCCTAGGCTCGCATCTTGTTGATTAATACTTTTCAAAAATAAGAGGAAATAGGACTTCCTAAAAAAGCAGTTTATTCCAGCCATGAAGCAGGGGAAGGGTTAAACAAATCCATTTTTGTGCAAAAAATTTAAGGAAGAGATTTGGTTTTTTTAATGTATGGCATTTCATAAGGACAATGTTGCTGTCATACATGGGCTCCTACTGTACAAATCTGAAATAATTTAAGTGGCAAAGTTCGGAGAATAAAAAAATTATCTGCTATTGAAAAAAGGAAATTGGTTAGGCCTTCCTGCTGATAGATGGACGGATAAATACACAAACACACAGACAGATGCTAAAGGAGTTTTCTAACAATGGAATGGGAAGTACTGATGATACATAAGGAAAAACTGCTAGATTCGCAGCACTTAGAGTTTTGGAACTATCACATTAATATTGGTTCAGGAAAAAATCATCAGTGGATGCTATCTTTGATGAGAATCAGATAGATTTTAAATGTCTAAAGTGTTTCCAAGAGTTTATTAATTGCAGAAAAAATAGTAGCTGTGCTGTGGAGAAGCCAAACATCTTGAGCAGATGATCCAAATTAGCATCACTCTTTCAGGGAGCTGGTGCCGCTCTCCTCCGGATAGCATGCCCTGAAAAGCACTTTACACCTTGTACATGAATTTGAAGTTAGAATGCTCACCTGAATCCAGTCCTGAAGAAATTTTAGACAAAACCACATTGGGAAACAGCCTGTGGATTAAAACTAAGGGAATGATACAGCCAGGTAATATTCTTTTTAAAATGTCAGTGTTCTAAGGGGAGAATCATCCCAGAATAAAGGTGAAATAACTGAAACAAATGTGACCCTAAAATGGAGTGCAGTACCAGGGCGGTGAACAACCGTGGGTCTAGGGACGGTAGTGGGGTAAAGTTTCTATCACTGTTAAGTCACAGAAATGTTCAGGGCTCAATTTGCTCTGAGATAGTTTGAAATAAAACTAAACACATACAAAGACAAAGATGGAGACAGAATAAATGTTAAAGCAAATAGAAAAAAATTACAGTAAATGAATTTCAGTAAATTGAACTATTCTTTTATGACTTTCTGCAAATGTCTTCAGATTTAAAGTTATTTCCAAATAAAAACCTTCTTTTACAGAAAGCAGCTTTAAAACAGACTCTTTAGTATCTCACCCTTTTCTACTCATCATATTGTGCAGGCCTCGCTCAAACACTTCACCAAAATAAAACCTTCCTACAAGCGCAAATTCAGATTCTCTGCCTGGCAAATGTCTCCTCTTCTGGCCATGATAATTCCAAAGGCAAAAAACCCTTAATATTCTCTGTTCAATATAATGTTACCATTTACCCTACCAAAGCATAGCACATAATATCTACATTTGTATTTTGTAACTTTATGGTTTCCCTGAAATCATACATGAACATAAAAATAAACAAAAAAATGCACATAAAATTACAGTACATGTGAGTGGCTATAACTGCCCTTCTACTAATGTTCCCGCAGAAGTGAAGACCAGTCTGCTCCCCAGATGTATTGGTTCTCTTTTATGTGAACAGAAAATGAATAATATATTTCAAGCAACTGATTGCTTCCTGTATCCAAACCTTTCTAGTCATCAAAACATAATGAAAAACACAAGAAAGAAAAAGAGAAACTGAAAAACAGAGAGATAGAGACAGAGACAGAGAACTGCTGTTAAGCAGGGCTATCCCTGGCACACATGCATATGCTATACATTTATTTCTGCCATCTTTATTGCTATCCCATCCAACTCCAGCCCTCTCTCTGAGATCATCTAACAAGCAAGGCTGGTTGCTGAAAATATTTCTCTCCTACTAGCATCATCTCCATACTCCTTGAATACACACACACAAAATGTAAGGTAATCTAAGAATACTGGTTTACAATAATAAAAATATGAGAGTTAGCATTATCTGTTACATTTGCACCTAGCGGAAATTTTTTGAAATGCAGTTTAATCAGTACCATAGAACACTTCCCTCAGATATAATTGATTAGCAAGAACACAAACACCTGGGTACCACCAGCCCTCTTTGAAGGGATGTGATCATAATAAACAGCTCCTTTTAAGCCTCCTTTTAACACTTTTCATGATGCCAGAAGCTTTTCCCAAACTGTTGCCCTTTAAGATCTTTCCCTAAAGTGCACTGCACCTGTGAGGGGCAACGTAGTAGAAGGATTTGCATTCACATTACACACAGGATGACCTCATACCCATGGAACTACTGCTCTAAGATACTGGAACAAGTGGATGGGAGACAGGAGATGTCAACCATGCAACAGAAGGTTGAGAAAAACCAGGCATACAGTGGCCTGGTCCTGAGCACAGAGGCCACACAAAGGTACAGCGGGTCTCCAAGAGGACAGTTGCCAATCAAGTCTTGACAATGCAGTATTCTTGGGCAGAGTTTGAATCTTTAAGTCAGAGGGAAAAAAAATGTAGTGCCCTGTTAATCTAATGAGGTTAATTTAAATTCACAGAGTCATATGTGCTTAGTACTACTGTGTTAGAGAAATTAAGTTTATGCCAAATAAGATGTTTAAAAATGTACCTAACACAACTAATTGATTTAATTTTAAACACTGAGCTTCAGCACATGAGCTTTGTTTGGGTGATTTGGTGCAGCAGAATTCGACTTCTCGAACTGAAAACAGTATTTTGTTTTACTCTTCATGATTTATTCTTTCCCTTTAATAAACACCTTAATTAGGAGACATTAGCAGGTGGCTAAGAATACAGACCTCAGCACTGGGTGAATGCAAACTTAAATCCTCACTCTGTAATGATACAATAAAAAAATGAATTACTGAAAACTTCAGTTTTTAGACATGTAGATACCCTCACTGTGGCATAAGGAAACTATTGGCCTATTACTTCTTCCCATCTCACTTTCTGCCCCATTATTTTTCTCCTCTCTATCTAGGGTGACAGGTATACTTTGTTAAACCATAGAATAATAATAATAGTTCTCTGGCACTGTGTTTATTTTTTAAATTGCTTTCCCTCTCTGTTCTTTTTTTAATTACATAGATTTATATTTTACTAGTAAATGTTTGCAGCCCATAATGATTG